ATCCAACCACTGATACCTAATGATTATTTAATAATTGGATTCCTAGCTTTAATGAATAAAGAGCTAGAATAAAAGAATCCCCCCAAATAGTAAAATGCCAAAAGTAAAAGGATTTGAAGGTGAGCTCAGAGTTTGCCTTGGAAAACTCCCCAAGTGAAGAACAGTAAAGTTGAAGAACTGCTCAGTGTCTTTAATATCTGCCTTGTCTCATTTCTCTGAATTGTGTGATATAGTTTACTGAACACTGATTTAATAATCAAAAATCTTAATTATGGATTGGTACTTAACTATTTTCTCTGTCAGTCTGTGCACTGACTTTATTCATTAGTGGCACAGGGCCCAAGTAGCTATCTGAAATCCTTATTTGCCATTCTTTTATTATTATTCCTTAGTTCTGAAGGTGTCTTTATTTGGTTACTTTTACTGATTGAGGTCCCGTGGTCCTGTTAGGATAATATGGAGTATTTAAATCTAGAACAGTGAATTCTTTTTTTTTTTTTTAATAGAAAAAGGACAGGTGGTTAGAGTAACAGGAAATCTCAAAATAGAGGCCCTTGTTCTTTTACTCTAAGAGCTCAGAAACTTAGTATTTTTCAGTGGTATAAATATTAGTCATGAGGATGAGTATACAAAATGGGAAGCTTGGTCAGGAGTGGTTATTCCTCTAAAAAATAAGGTAGTTCAGACCATCATTCCCTGTGAGCTGGTAGACATCTTTCACCTCAGCCTGGGACAGGAAGAACTACATAGAGCTGTGAAATGATAAAAACCATTGAGGTTTGAGGGTGTGACCGGAAGGTCTGAAGGTGTGATCATAAGCTGTGTGCAAAGCTTCTAGCTAACTGTATCACCAGAAAGGAATGAGTAAAATATGTGTTTTCCTAAATTAAAACAAAAACAAAAACAAAAACAAAAAACCAAAAGCTTTTGCAGCAAAGCAGCCAGAAAATAAATGAATACATATTTATGTTTATATGTATATGTTTTATGCAAAAGTGAATTTAAAAGACAAAGTTCTAGAGCCAATTTTTCATCTTTGTTTTATTAATTTTGTTATAATACAGTTTAGTACTTCCAGTTTTGTGCTGCTTTGATCAAAGACTCATGTTAGGAGTTTTAATCAGTTCTCTCTGAAGTTACTTCTAAAGTTAATTGTCTTCTCATTAAAAAAAAAAAATTGCCTTTTTCAGAAATTTAGAGCTTAGTAAGAAAAAGTTTAGAGGAGCAGTTACACAATGTAGCTTTCTAATCACTTGTATCATTCTGTTCTAAAACTGAAAAAAATCTAGATTTTATGGTCATTTACTCAACATTTATCTTTTTGCTGATCAAGCACACTGGTAGGCATCATGCCTCTTATTTGTGCTGCTGTTACAATAGTGAATAAGACAGATATGGTACTCACCTTTGTGGACTTAATATTAGAAGAGGCAATATGTAAGAAGTATAAGAAAAAGTGCTCTGACTTCTTTAGCCTCCATCCTGAGGACTCTCCACCCATCACTGGCTATGTGGATGTAAATTAAAATGGGCAAAAAACCTTAATGTTGCCAATATCTTTATGGGGCAATATAATATAATTTTCTTGATCTGAAGCCATAGAATGGTTTTTCTAAAGCAGTAGTGACATACTGCTGTATGTTTTACAGTTCCTAAATTATGTGCTGTCCTAACTTTGTTCTTCCAAATACTTGCATTCCAAGTTTGATGTGGTTGGATAAAGAGTGTGCATTGGTTTATTTTATGTTACTATAGCAGAACACCTGAGAGTGGGTAAGAATTTTATTCTGGCTCACGGTTTTGGAGGCTGGGAAATTTAAGATCAGGTGGTCTCATCTGGTAAGGGCCTCATGATGTTTCAACTCATGGCAGAAAGTGAGGACAATTGGAGTGCATGGAAGACAGAACACCAGGAGTGAACTTGTTTTCAAACAACCTGCTGTGACAGTAACTAGTCTTGCCAGAGAGGCATGAATTATTCATGAGGCTCCATCCCATAACCCAAACACCTCCCACTGCTTTCTACATCCCAATACTAGTGTACTGGGGTCCAAGTTTCAACATGAGTTTTCGTGGGGACAAACCATATTCGAACCACAGCAGTCTATTAGCATTTCTGGGTTGCAGTGCTGGTATTTCCACTTTATAGAAATTAGGAGAGGAAACCAACAAACCAAACAAAAAATCCCATATTTTTTTGAAGTCCAAGAAATCCCATCTGCAGTACTAATTTCATTTTATTCTTCCAAGGCTATGAAATGGCAAAACTCATATAAAACATGAACAAACTGAGTTTTGAAGATTCAGTGATTTATTCAAATTTTTATGACTAGGAAGAATTTGAATCTTGGAATCCAAGTAATAATAATATTTAGAATTCAGTGAGCACCTCCTCTATATATACTAGGTTATAGTCAAGCATTTATATGCCTTAATTCTGACAGCAACCTTGGAGGGCAAATATTACTACCATTTTACTGTGTTGAATCTGAGGCCTAGAGAGCTAAGAGACTTGAACTAAGAGAACTAGAGAACACAAGAGAGCTAGAACTGGTATTCAAACACATTTTCCTGATTCCTAAATTCATGCTTTGTTGCAGTCCATTCTGAATTCATAGTCTATCCATGTCCTATATTGTCAAGACTTATTTTAAACATAGGTCAAGAATTGACAATTGGGCTGGGGATGTGTCTCAAGCAGTAACGTGCTCGCCTGGCATGCGTGGGGCACTGGGTTCAATTCTCAGCACCACATAAAATAAAGATGTTGTGTCCACCGAAAACTGAAAAATAAATATTAAAAAATTCTCTTTCTCTCTCTCTCTCTCTCTCTCCCCTTAAAAAAAAAGTCAATGTCTTTATAAAAAAAAGAATTGGCAATAATGTGTTCTTAGGTCAAGTAACCTTTTAATAATAGTTTATTTGTAAAGCGGGGATAATAATATACAACTGCCAGTGTTGGGAGGTTTCAATATGGCTATGCACAGTGTCTCTGCCACTTTCTCAGTTACCCCTATAACTTCCTTTACCCTCACTCTCTACCTTTTCTCAGCAGAGTTTTCCTTCTTTACTTTTTTGACTTCGAGATAGAAGGCTAGGGATCTTCTTTATCTGGTTGAGAAAACCAAGGATTAGCGAGGGAGAAGAAAATGCCAAGCAGCAATTTTCTGGTTTACCTTAAAACTCTTCTTACATTGTTGAATTAAATGAGTCTCTGGTAGATATTTTATCTGACTTCTGGGGCATGATGACAAGTGGCAGACTTCAGTAGTAATTCAGAGACCAAGGATTGTCTCGGGACACAAGTAGGGCAGGTGGAAACAAACAAAAAAACATACACACACAAAAGACAGGTAGCACAACTTAGACTATATCCAAGGGGTTAGAACACGTAGTATACTGTCTGAAGTAGTTTGGAGGAAAGGTGGGAGGAATGACCAAAGTGAAGAATATGGAGACCCTCTGAAGAATAATGGTTCAGTGCTGACTAGAGGTTGGTGAAGGAAGAAAAGAATAAGCAAGGGATTTGGTTAGAACTAAACAAAGTATGGATGGGGTTTGTCTCCGCATAATCCATTTTGCCTTCTATTCTCTCCCTCACTCCACATCCCCACACTCTATTAGCAACCATCATTTGATTTGAAAAACAATTTATTTACTTTTTTTTAATTTTTTTTTTTTTTTTAGGTTTATGGCATATAGTTTAGGTAAACACACATACAAGGAGAAAGGAAAAGGGGAAATGGAGGTGTCAGAAGCAAAGCTGAGTGACAGTGAAAAACAATTTAAATTGGTTTCATAGAACCAAAGTCAGAAGATTTTAAAAGCCGGATCAAATGGAAATGAACTTCATCTGGCTCTTAATAATAGTTATAGAAATGAATTTCTTTTCTCTCTCCTTTTTTTTTTTGGTTCTCTTTTCAAGTTTCTGGGGATTGAACTTAGGGCTCTACGGTTGTTAGGCAAGTGCTCTATGACAGCTACATTGCCAGCCTTAATGGATTGTTTTTAAGTGTTCTGCATATGTGAAAATGGGAGGTGTTGCTGAAAATTTGTAGAGATAAATTTTTTCAAGTAAGAATAAGATTCATGATAATATGGTATTATATATATATATATATATATATATATATATATATATGTGTGTGTGTGTGTGTGTGTTGTATATATATATATATATATAAATGATAGTAATACTCTTTGACCTCAAAATATTTTTTTTTGATACCAGCAAAAAAAAACCCAAAACAAACAAACAAAAAAAATTGGAGGTAACCTAAATATCCAATAGTAATGTATTACTGAAATAATTTTTATATCCATGTTGATAATAATTATATATGGTTTTAAAAATCATGTTTTATATAAATATTTCTAAATGAGGAAATAGTTATTGTTTATTAGAAATTGATAAAAAATGCTGTGTGTGGAAAGATATCAAATTTAATAGTGAATATAACATGGATAAAAGTTATAAGAATACACACCAAAATTTTTTATGATGGGAATGTAGATGTTTTGAAGTAATTTCTAAAATGTGTTTATCTACAATAAATATAAATGAAAAAAGAAAAAAAAACTTCCCAAGTAGTAAGAAAAATAATAACAAGAGAAAGTTTTTAACAGAAAGACTAATGTTTAAATTAAGAGCTAAAGAATTTAGATATAACATTGATCACAAATATGTATATATTTATATGTAGATTTTTAAGTCATATCTTTTTACTAGTAGTTGGATTTTTTAAAATATATTTTCTTGTTTTCCCCAAAGATGTATTCCTCTGTCTTTTCAGTCCCCAAATACTGATTTTGAATGTTTTGCATATTTTGCAGAGAACCAAGTTGTTGGTTAATTCAAGTGGAGGAATATATAACTCATGACCATCTTTCTTTTCCGTTAACATCAGCTTTTACCATATGATTTCCTTTTATCACTTTGGTCAAGAGGAGGGGTGAAACTTTTTGAGTTGGAGTGTCATTTAGAAGTAATTCATTTCTGCTTTTTGTCTTACTGTCTCTGAGGGATCCAGGACTGAAAAGGCCTACCTATTCCTCATTTTTAGTTCAGTTGCCTCCAGCTGCATCACTACATGGCACAAATACAGGTAACATCTGCCTTTATTTCCTCAGAGCTTTGTATTTTATCCCACTTATTCTAGAGATACGGTATTTAATTACACATGGCTGGACATGAGATTGAGATTGGTAGGCAAGTATTTGTTGATTGCATTAGAATTGCATTAACTCTGAAAGATATGAAAACTGAAGTTTACCATTTTCTCTTTCTCAATATGCTATGGGTTTTGCTCTTTGCTATCAAAATAAAGGAAGAGGGATTTGGGAAGTTTTTTTATTTTAATTTGGGTCTAATGATTTAAATATTATCCATCTTGAAGAATTTAAAGAAAGATCTTTTTCTTAGGAAACTAGAAGAAACACGAATAATTCAATTTAGAAAAATTTGTACATTAAAAAACTTAGAAAAGAATACAGTTACATGTGCAATTTTTTGTATTTGCTATTTCTTGGATGTAATCTTATTGAACTGATTAAGATGCAAAGTAAATTTTAAATATTTACTACTTATTTCTATATTGATATCCATTACTAGATTGAATCTTTTACTTATGTTAACTAATGAATGCCTATTGACAAATTTTATTTTTACATAGACTTTTCTGTCATCGTCACACACTAGAAAATTATTCAGAAAATCTTCATGTACATGAAATTATTTGGGATTGAAAATGCAGGTGTTTGGGCTTCAACCCAAGAGATTTTTATTTATTACATTTTGTACAGGGCCCTGGAATCTAAAACAGTTTGCAATATTAATCCTTGAATAATTATTTTGCTGATAGTGTCTGCAATATACGTGGAGAAACACTGGTATAGTCATGCAATGTAAGTATTTTTTATATGTATGCCACATCATGTGTAAGTTTTTTTATGTATATTAAGCAGGTCGTAAAGCTAGATAAATTTTATTTTTATTCTAATTTGTTACATATGGCTGCAGAATATATTACATTTCATATTACACATAGAGGACAAATTTTCATATTTCTGATTGTATACAAGGTATATTCATACCATTCCTGTCTTCTTACAAGAACATGGAAAAGTTTTTAAAAAGCAAAAGTATTTTTTCAGAATGCTTTGAATTGACAGTTTAAAAGTGCTTTCAGAATACTTTGAATTGACAGTTTTATTTGAATTGACAATTTATAAGTGTTTTGGTGGTTTGAGGTAGAAACAATTTGGCCTAACATTTGCATATGTATATTGAACATTTTAAACAAAATTGGCTGGGCCAATAGGAGCATAATCTATTCATGGATTTTTCTCTTTATATTTTTAATAACCCTGACAGTGATTAACTAGGTGCATAAATGACTTAAACAGAATTTTTATTTTAAATTTATTTATTTTACAGTAGAATGCATTTTGACACATAGTACACCAATGGAGCACAACTTCTCATTCTTCTGGCTGTACATGGTTCAGAGTCACTCCAGTAATGTAATCATACATAGATTATTACACTATGTATATAGGGTATATAGGACATATATACCCTATATACTTATGTAATAGGGTAATAATGTCTCTTTCTACTGTCCTTTCCATCCCCACCACCTCACCCCTCCCCTCACTTTCTTCTACACAAACCAAAGTTCCTTCATTCTTCCCTATCCCCCCACCCCACTATGGATCAACATCCACTTATCAGAGAAAACATTCGGCTTTTGTTTTTTTGGTATTGGCTTATTTCACTTAGCATGATATTCTGTAGTTCCATCCATTTACCTGCAAATGCCATAATTTCATTCCTCTTTAACTAATATTCCATTGTGTATATGTAACACATTTTCTTTATCCATTCATCTGTTGAAGGACATCTAGGTTTGTTCCGTAGTTTAGCTATTGTGAATTGAGCTGCTGTAAATGTGGCTGCGTCACTGTGGTATGCTGATTTTAAGTCCTTTGGGTATAAACGGGAAGAGTGGGATAGCTGGGTCAAATGGTGGATCCATTCCAAGTTTTCTGAGAAATCTTCATACTGCTTTCCATAGTGATTGCATTAATTTGCAGTCCCACCAACAATGTATGAGTGTACCTTTTCCCCCACATCCTTGCCAACACTTATTATTGCTTGTATTTTTGATAATTGCTATTCTGACAGGAATGAGATAAAATCTGAGAGTAGTTTTGATTTGCATTTCTCTAATTGCCAGAGATATTGAACAATTTTTCATATGTTTGTTGATCTATTGTATTTCTTCTTGTGTAAAGTATCTTTAATCAGAAATTTGAAAGACGTTTCATTTCTTTCATAAATAAGGTTCAGTCTACAAGCTTTATGCACTTAAAGAAGTTAATAAACACACACCCACAGATACATGTACACATACCTCTCAGCATCAAATCCTGGTTTGTTTATATAGGCTCACATTTTCATTTCTTCTTTATATAGAAGTCATCACATGGCAAGGTTTTTAATGTGAAACATACTTCTCTTCTAATTCTAAAGATGAGCAATCAGGAGGTGACTTATTCAACCCTGAGATTTCTTCAGTCTCCTTCAGAATCACCGGGTAGATCAAGGAGTGATTCTACTCAGAGTCCTAGAAAAGCTGTTGACAAAGGTATATATTTTAAGCATCTAAATTAATATGTTTATTGTGAATTGCCCAAATTTTGCAATTTGAATAAAAATTCTGTTTGCACTTCTGGTTGTCAGCTGGTAATATGAACCATAAATAGGGTAGAGTTGTAGAATGAAGTCTTTAAAAAATTTTGTGACAATGGGAAAATGAGTAAATATTTTTGAATTTGAGAAACTAATAGGATGTTTTGATTCAAATTGGACCAAAAAAATTTATGAGGGCTTTAAAGGTAAAGGACATACTGAAGTCTGAAGAAACATTGAATTTTCTAGAGAAATAAAATTCTTAGAGAAATGAAAAGTTGGGCTGGGGATGTGGCTCAAGCGGTAGCGCACTCGCCTGGCATGCATGCGGCTCGGGTTCCATCCTCAGCATCACATACAAACAAAGGTGTTGTGTCCGCCAAAAACTAAAAAATAAATATTAAAAATTCTCTCTCTCTCTCTCTCTTTAAAAAAAAAAGAAATGAAAAGTTTATGTTAAGAGTGATATTTTCACTCAGACAAAAGATATTTTAAGTATCTTAAATACTTACCAAACTTTAATGGTAATGAAGCAGCAAAAATTTTCAAATCAGGGAGGAGTTCTAATTTTTCGATTCTCTATTTCTATTCTCCTTTCAAATATTGTCAAAATTAAACTCTAAGTTGAAAACTTCTTTGATTTAGTGATTATCAGAGATACAGGCTTCAGATACCAAGGACTTCAAAAGCATAAGAGTAAATATAGTATTGCCTAGAGAAAAAGATAATTGATGAAAGAAAACAGAAAGTTGATTTCTAGAAATTCCTTTAAGTATGGCCCTCTATCCCATTTGAGCTTCAGAGTATTCACTTTTGGCTATTAATTTATCAAAACTACTGACTTGGGGCTGGGGATGTGGCTCAAGCGGTAGCGTGCTCGCCTGGTATGCATGCGGCCTGGGTTCGATCCTCAGCACCACATACAAACAAACAAAGATGTTGTGTCCCCCGAAAACTAAAAAATAAATATTAAAAAAAACTACTGACTTATCTTTCTCTCCTTTACATGATTGTTTACGATCACAAGGACTCGGAGTACACATCAACTTGGGGTCTTCTATATGAATTGTGTCTATTGCCTTTGGTGTTTTTGTAAGGGATGTGCTTTTGAAATCCTATAGAACTGTTCCTACATGCAGGATTTATACAATTGGCATGTCAACTAGAAACCTAAAACTTGAAAATTGTAACTCCTAGATTACAATTTAAATCAACTTGTATAATATGTTTTTGAAAAAATTTTTAGTTCCTTTTTTCATATGGTCTCCCACATTAAGGTTAGTAGTGGTGGGCCATAGCTTTTTCTGTGTTGCTTATTTTCTTCTTTTTTCATTTAAAGAGTTTTCTGTGCCCTGGAACTTTATTGCAGTGACTCTTGGAATTTTCTGTTTACTTTTGTTGACGACAGTCATAGTGTTGGTGATCAAGAGTGAGTAACTGAAATCCATTTTTCTTAATCTGAGTACTGAACTTTAGACACTAATTGTACAGACTTTAACATGCTTCATCCATTAGTTCCTGTCTGTAGTCAGGGAAAGACTTAGGTGGCTCTGAACTTTGAGTGAGGCTTTTTTTCCTGGACATATTGCAGTGTCATTTTAATATTACTTACCTATTCCATGGACTCTGAGGCTGTGGTGAGCTATACACTTAATCTGATACATGGTCATATTTCTTCTGGTAGAGGATTGAGTGAAATTCTGCCATGGTATTCAGGTTATCATGAACCTGAGGTAAACATTTTTGAGAAGTAACTGTTCAAAAGAAATTATAGCTTTTCTTCTAATAATATAATTAGGAAATAGCTTATTAAAAAATCTGTATGTAGATGTTAAATGATCTTGAATTTAAACTTTATCTTTTTTTAAAAAATTCTGTCTTATCTTTAGAGAAAATCATTGATATATTATTCTTAGATAAAATTACATATCCCAATATTATTTTCTTGGTCCTATGGGCATTCCATCTGCTTCAGTAATAGTTATGCCACCTCCTCATGTTTCTTAGTTCAGATTTTCATACTCAAAAGATGTATTAAATATTGACTGATTGATTTTTACTTTGCTACTTATTTATTAAAAATGAACTAAACTGAAAGGTAAGGTGTTATCATCAAAATTTTATTCTCATAGCTTATTTCTTATTTTACATTAAAGTTGCTAATACTGAGAAATTTGATGATTCCATTTCTATGATCAGTTCACTGAGGTGTTACTTTCTAAATGTCAAATTACTAATATGAGTTGGTTGTCAAAATGAAGCTTTTTCTTTTGGCTTAAATTTCAATGTTTATTCATTATGAATACTTTTTTGTATTACATCTATGCTGTTAATTTTAGTTTTTCAGTGTGTTCAAGAAAAACATCACCAGCAGGAAATTCTAAGAAACTTCAGCAAAGTGTACGACATTATGAAAAATGACTACTACTTAAAGGAACAAGTTTGGATAAATAAGTCTTTAGAATATGATAGTCTCAAAAATAAAACCCTTCATTTGGAATCAAATCATGAGAACAAATGTCATAAGAAAATTGAGATCTATTCAGAATTTTTGCAAAATAAAGGTATGGAGGAAATCTTTATTTAAATTATTATTTAAATAATATTTTAAAATAATTGCACAATTTCTTTTCCTTCAGAAGCTTTGAAGTCTAATAAACTGGGTTATATTATATACTAGTGATCTCTGGGCCTACTGGAAAAAAATTTGATTTGTCCCTCTTAGATATGATGTAGGTATTTGGGTATGCTTATTTCAAGCATAGGGTTGGGGCCCCCAGAAGCCATACTTGGATTATTAAGACCCTATATAGTGTCCCCAATTCAATTGCTGTTCTTACATTCCTACTCCTTTCAGAAGGTGAAAATATGTCAGTTACCCTGAAAATTCAGAGCACTTTGTTCCTGTAGGAAAATCAGACTCCTACTCTGTTGCTAACATTGGATATGGAGGCTGTCATTAAAAGTATATTTAGGCAAAAATGGGCTCAAGGACTTTTATTTGGATGCTATTTTAAAAATAATTTTTGTGTATATATGTATTTTCATTCTGCTATGGCTTCAGATATTTGGTAGATAGATTTATGACCAGTGTAAATACTTATTACCTGCAGTATATCAGCAAGATTTTCCATATGGTTGATGTTTGTGCAATTCTGTGATAATGCCATCAAAACACCAAAGAGATACAAATGTTAAATTTCATGCAGTAAACTGTTACCTTGCATAATGACCTGATTATCTTGAATTGAGTTGATTAATCAACAAGTACTAAATATTAGGATTTAGAGTTTATAAAGACCTTTTTCATGTGTAATCTCACTTTGGTATTGTGGGATTTACTATCTCTTATTAAAGGATGAATACTATTTACAAATTCCGTACATTATGACATAAATAAGAGAAAAAGAAAAAGTTACAAAAAATGTTTCTCATATTTAGTTGTCATTCCAGAATCCAGCATTCTTATCTGTTAGATATATGGTATAAGTAGAATCATGAAATATTATTTTTCTTCTGTGATTGGCTGATTTCACTCAGCATAACATCCTCAAGGATCGTCATGTTGTCACATAGAAAGAATTTACTTCTTTTTAGAGGTTGAACAATATCTTTTCATATGTAACATATTATTTTAGGTTGTTTTCATCTTGGCCGTTGTGAATAGTACTGCATTGACATGAGTGTGGATATCTCTTGGTACTCCAGAATTTTGGTGATCCTCATATTGTCATTACTGATAGCAATGAGATATTATTTAGATATAGAGGACTGATAAATGTATTTCTGTAGTTGACAGACTACCAGATAATAAATTTAAAGTTTCACATTACGTGTTGTAGGTTTGATCTGTGAAGGCCACTGGTTCTGTTATGGAGTAAAATGTTATCATTTTACCAAGAAACAAGAAAAATGGGAGGGATGTAAGAAAACTTGCCAAGACAATGGATTATCCCTTTTGAAGATAAATGATGAAGATGAACAGGTATTGTGAACTCACATCCACTTTTTTTTTTCTTTCTCTTGGATGCTGTCACTTACCCTTGGATCTAAGATACTGAGGACAGGCAGGAGTTCAGAAGGAAGGACCTTCACCTATTTGTGTTCTGTCTGTTATGCGGGCAAAAATTATATAATTGAAAGTTTCCTGGGAGATTCCTACCTGCTAAGAAGTATATAAACCTGCTATCTATCTGTATAATCTGTAAGTATTCTATCTGTATAATCTATTATGATAACCATTATTATTAAGGATGCAGTTTGGTTCTTTGCAGTCATTTTCCTTTCAAAGGAGTCTGTAAGAGTAACAGAAAAATATTCCCTTCCCTGAATAATATTTAACCCTTTGATAAATTACAGCCTGAACCAACAGTTATTTATCCCTATAAAATGGCAACTTTGGGCTGGGGATATAGCTTGGTTGGTAAAGTGTTTAATAAATAAAAACTTAGAACTGCCTGGAATCAAATTTATCTCTACCACTTACTAGCTGAGTGACTTCAGGTAAATGACTTAACCTCTCTGGCTGCCTTGAAAACGAGATGATTTTTAAAAAATATTTATTGTTTAGTTGGACACAATATCTTTATTTATTTATTTTTATGGGTGCTGAGGATTGAACCCAGTGCCTCTCATGTGGTAGGCAAGCACTCTACCGCTGAGCCACAACTCCAGCCCCCCAAAATGGAAATGAGTTTAGATGAGTTTAAGGACCATAAAAGTGATAACAGTTTTACCAATTAGTCTCATGATGATTTTCATTGCATACATAGGCAATATTTACTTGGTTAATGTTCTTATATAAGAATATATAAAGGTGTATATCATTTAAAATCTCAGTATAAAAGAATTCCTGATATCAAGTCATGAAATAATTTTGTTTGATATGGTAAAATATAGTTAAACGTATATTTTAAAATCCACTTAGTCATTTAATCTAAAATTAAGTGCTATATCACTCTGATATATTTCATTTTAGATAGTAGATTCTTCCAAATATTTTTCCCTTTTACTTCTTTCAGTGCTGAACTACAGAAAGACTTTCTCTTAGGATACTGAAGCTGTAATGTGCACCCTTTTCACGTAATACTTTTTACTTTAGTAAATTTGTTTTGAAGATTCCTTTTACTTAAGGTTGTGTGGTGATCCTTTTTTCATATTCTTCATTATTCTTTTGGAGTAGGAATTTGAATAGTTTTGTAAAGTGTCAAAAATGATTTAACAATTTAAATATTTATTATTGCTAAATAGATTTTTACATTTTGCATGTTTTTAATAATTTACAAAAGTTATACTTTTAAAATAAATAATCTACTAGTGGAAAATTACTTTGGAAAATGAAAATGCAAGGATTGAAGAAAGAGAGGTAGAGGAGAATTAGCAGAGTACTGGTCACAGGAACACCTGGCCTTATGACCTGTCATTCTCTTTGTTTATCTAATAGATGAGAATTTTGTGACATAATGTTTTTTGTTTCCTGTATAGGCCTTCCTTAAACAACAGGCTTGTAAAAATAATTACTGGATTGGATTATCATATGATGAATGTGAAAGGAAATGGAAATGGGTTGACAGTGACACATCTTCTGGAATGTGAGTTTCTGGAATACATTCAAACTCTACCATTAGTGTGGGAGTTGGAAGGATTATGTCTGGAATGAATATTCTCTCATTTCACACAATTTAACACATTTTCAAATGGAAGTCACTGGTGAAAATAAGAAGAATGGGTTATAAAGTGTTTTAGAAAGTATAGTTAAAAAAGGAAGAGAGGTGTCATACAGAGTTATTAATAATAATAGTAGTATGATCTCAGAAGTATGTGTTATGAGATGCAGAAAATGAAGCAATCATAACTTTTTTGATAGCGGCACTCTACCACAGAATTCCATCCCTAACCCCTGACCTCCATCACAAAATTTATTTTGAGACAGGGTCTTACTAAGTTGCCCAGGTTTGCCTTGAACTTGTGATCCTCTTCTCAGAAGCTAGGATTACAGTGTGCTTGAGAGATTATAGGTGTGCACCACTACACCTGGTTCAAAATCATGAATCATGAATCATAAATTTTAAGGTGACGTGATTGTACCATCTGACTTAGCTATAATGAATATTCTGAATATCCCAAACATTCATATGAAACTTCTTTATATAATTAGTATGTTTGTTTATGTTATTTATTGACATAAATATAAGAATTTGCATATAGATACAATCATTCATATGCATATACATACGTTCCATTTTGAATTGCAGCAGTATGTAAACAATTAGGTTTACATTTAGTTCTAATCTGCCATAAAATTGTTCATTATTTAGAAATATTAAGTATTGTATTTTTATTTCTAGGAATTCTCTTTTGTGTTTTCAAATAATCTTGCTAGACACTCATATTTTCAAGCTGCCTTTTATTTCTTAAAACAGTGAAACATATTTCACATTTGATATCTGATAATTCTAGTATTTTTCTGTTATTTCTGCTGGCTTTTTTCATGATGTAATTTTCTTTCCTCCTCCTCCTCCTCCTCTTCTTTCTTCTTCTTCTTCTTCTTCTTCTTCTTCTTCTTCTTCTTCTTCTT